TTGATCAGAAAATTTGGGACACTACCGAGTTACATGATGTTACAGTACCAGTTCTCATATGTCCTGAGTCTTAATTGACCTCAGAAGGCTAGGGCCAAAATGTTGGCTTTCCTTGCAGCCCTCCTTTTTCTCTAATTTTGGTCTAAGTCTATCTTTTTAAATATGCCATAAGAATATCAAAAGACAAACTTCAGACCAACATAAAAATATTTTCAAATCACATAATGATAAAGGTCTTGCATTCAGAGTACATAAAGAACTCTAATAGTCCATGAATAGCCACGTGTGGTGGTGTACACCAGTAAGCCCAGCACCTGCAAGGCTGAGTGACCAGGTGAGACCCCGTCCCAAAACAGACAGCATGTGGGGAGTGCAGCTCAGAGGGACAGTCCCAGGTTCTGGACTCGGCAGCATTAAAAGCAAAAAATCAAACACAAAACTCAAGGAAACAATTAGAAATTTAAGAAAATGGGCAATGATTTGGAAATTTCACCACAGAAGATGTGGACAGCAAATGACCAGATGAAAAGGGGCTCAATATCATCTGCAAAACTGAAATTAAAACCTCTAGCAGCTGCTGCTGAGGCTGAGGAGGAACTGGAATGCCCCACTGCAGGGAAGGCGCCCGGCAATACAATTTTAACAGCCTCTGCTGACTTCACAGAGAGTGACCTGCACATCCCTCAAAAGGCCAGAAAGCTCCAGTCCCAAAGGTACGAAAGCAGAGGTCGAATCACATTGGTACAGCTGTCTCTATAACACTTTCATTTAACTGACAAACTTGAAATAGTCAAAATGTCCGTGAATGTATCAATATATGTCCATCCATGAGAATACTGCTAGGCAATAAAATAAGTAGCTGAATGAATACAAACTAGATCCCTCCCCCTCAAAACGAGTACTCGCTGTGTGAACCCATTTCTTTCCATCATAGAGAGCACAAACCAAAGCCGGCCCAAGAGCACAGAGAGCAGCGGCTGCTGAGGAGCAGGGTGGGGAGGGCTGGGACGGGGGACCTGAAAGAGGCGAAGGGAAACGGGAGGGCGGTGGGCTGAGGGCGCCTGCTGCGTGACTGTGTAACAGCTGCAGGACACCAAGCAATGGGCCGGGAGCTTAGACAGTGCCTGCATCAGCTCCGGACTCCTGAAATTCATGTGCCAGGAGGAGGCTGAGCAACAGGAACAGTGACAGCACAGTGTCGCTGGGTACGTCCTCAGGGACACCTCCTCTGTGTCCGAGGCTTGACCACACCCCCGAAGTGTTCTGACCGAGGTCAGCCGTGACGAGCAGTGCAGCCCATCGGCAGAACAGCTGCGTCACCGTCTTAGTTGTAATGCCATTCTTTCTCTTGCAGTGCCAAGGAGCCTCTGGCACCCTTGAAGCCCTCCTCCGCCAGCCCTCAGGACGTGTCAGGGCCTCCACTTCCATCTCTTCCAGGGTCTCAGTGGACACCCGACCACCGCCCCTGGCAGGGCGGTCAGGCGCAGTCCTTGAAGTCAGCCTCTTTCCTGCCTGTGCCCAGGGGCCATAGCCCACCTCACAGTTCTCCCACCAGCTGCTTGCTGCTGCCGCCACCGCTATATGAGCGTCACCAGCCAGGTGTCCAAGGGGCAGCTGAACCTGAGCTGTCCACAGTGGACATCTGCCCTTCCCCCACCCTGTCAGCAGCAATGTCACCTTGGGTCTGTGAAGGCCAAAGCCCTGGCAGTCACCTTGACGCTTCCTCCAACCCTCACGGCCTGCCACCTACAAACCTGCGTGGCTCCATGCTCCCGGTCCACCCCAGACCCGACGACCTCTCCTTTGGCCCTCCTGGCCACCTGGGGATGAGCCGTCATCATTGCCTGCCCAGAACCCAGCACTGTGGTGACTTGTGTGAGTCTTCTCCAGAGCTCCTGAACAGGCATGCGCTTCTGCCCTCGCCTCCCTAGACCCTGTTCTGAGAGCGGGAGCCCCAAGGAGCCTGGGTGCAGAAGTGGAGGTCAGACTCGCTTCTGGCTTTGAGCAAAGAAGCCCTGAAGCCTTCTCACTGAGTCAGGCCAGCAGCGAAGACCCTCAGAAAGCTCCACAAGGTCCTACGCCCCTCCACCTGCAGCAGCCACGCTGGCAGCTTAGCTCCGGGCAGCCCTGTGTGCTGGCCGCAGGGCCTCGGCACTCGCTCTCACCACTCGCCCACCCCCTCGTGGGACCTGTGCTTCTCCCTCCTCTGGCTTGGGTTCAGCTCCAAAGGCAACTCTTCGCTGGAGCTGGGCTACCAGAAACTTTATCTTCTGTGTGCTGCAATTCCAAACGATCCCTACCTTCCGGTTGCTTTTCTCCTTACACTCACCACCACAGGATGGAAACTCTCTTCACCTGAGGAGTGGATTCTCTCCTCCAGGAGTGTAAACACTGCGTGTGCAATCCTCTGCCCAGATCACTGCCTGCTGCGTCCCCTGCCCCCTGACCTGGCACAAGGCACGGGCACCCAGGATTTGTGGTCAGGGAAGAAGGGAGAAGGAAACGCAGACAGAGAGGAAACGAAGCCGTGTCCTAAAGGTTTCTAGCTGGGGTTCACAGATGCGTAACGCACTTCTCAATGACAATCAAGTGGAAGGAGCCTGGTCCCCCTCAGCAACCAGACCTGAGCCCTGAGTCTTTTCCAGAGACTTGCTCTGCACTAGTGACGACCCTGGTTCTGCGCCTGCGGGCCCTCAGATTCCCAAGCGGCAGCTGAGGGCCAAGCGAGGGAGATGCTAACGGAGCCTCAGCTGCATCGTTCTCCAGGGGCCCCGCCACGTGGGCTCAGCAGGGACCGGTGGGAGAAGCGGCCGCCACTATAGGGGCGGCATTTCCGGCATTCTGAACCACAGCTTTCTCAGTAGAGGAGAAGCTTAACTTACCAGCCTCCGAAGACATCAGTAGCACCATGAGATGGACAACTCCGAGTGACACTTTCATATTCTCCTAGGGAAATGGGGGAACAGGAAAAGACAAAATGGTTACTACTGCAACCAATCCCTGCGGCTGCACACACGGACACCGGTGGCCAGCACCGCACCAGACCACACCAGACCAGTCCTCCCCTTCCACATCATCATCGAAACCACGCAGGGACTCTAGTCAGAAAGTGGAGAGCCGGGCTGGGCATGGTGGCACACACTTGCAATCCTAGCCCTCGGGGGGCTGAGGCAGGAGGATCGCTGTGAGCTCAAGACCAGTCTGGGCTACAAAATGAGCTCAGGGCCAGCCTGAAAAGCATAATGAGACCCTGACTCAAAAAGACAAAGAAGAAGGAAGGAAGGAGGGAAGGAAGGAGTGTAATTTTCAACAGAACTGAGGACAACTTAGCAATTGAAGACTGTAACCATTTCCACCACTGGCCCCAATGCGCATCTTTAGACTTACACCCTAATTCTCCCAGAAGCAGCCTACAGCCCTCAGACTGTGAGGCATGCCTTTCTGGAGCTTTTTACACTGTCCCCGATGTCTAGACTAAGCAAGTATCAATCTTTTCAAAAGTAGACTATACCACTTCCCCGGCCCACAGGTCCCATATCTGCAGATCCAACCCAACTGCAGACCTGAAATATTTAAGAAAAACTTCTTCGGTTATGAACATGCAGAAACTGTTTTTGGCCCTTGTTACCCAAATATCCCTAGTACAACGCCATGATGTACATGGCGTCTACACTATGCTGAGCGTTGCGGGAATCTAGAGTCGGGGAGGCTGTGGGGGCTGCGTGTGGACACTGCACATTTTTATATAAGGGAACCACTCTCTGTGGACTGTGGTGAGTGGGAGGTTGTGGGACGGAAGCCTTGTCCGTACCAAGGGTCAGGGGTGTCAGCACTAAACCAGCCGGCCAGCCAGCAGGGCCCAGTTCCTGCCTGGAGCGCCTCCTGCTGGCCAGGAACTCTTGCAAAACTTCCCAGGCTTCCAGGTCAACTCCTAGGTTCTGCCCTCTTCTGATCATACAAGGCCGTACGTTGTTTGCACTATATAATACAGGTACATACAAAAGCTACAACAAGCACCAAAGGTGATTCTAGTAATGTAAATAAAGTGGAGCAGGCCCTTGTGTTTTGATGGGTTTGTCCTTTCCTGGGGCTTTTTAGAATTGTCCAAACACCTGGAATAGGCAGGCATGAGCCTCTTTACAAAAGGAAAGTCCCTTTGTTTTCCCTCCAAACAGAAAGCTCTCTGACTGTTCCTGCTTTGAGCCCCTGACCCGGACCTGGCTCAGCTCAGAGAGCTGTAGCCTCACCTCTTCACCTTGCTTTTGCACAAATCTGCGAGCACCTTGAACTCAACAGGACCCAAAACCTAAACTCCTTCCCACCTTGAGAAGGTGACATCACTGCCGGTATTCCCCAACTTGGTGACAAGCACATTCCAACCTATGGTGCAGGCACACAAGGGACACCCACACTGAGGGTTCTGCAGCCACTACCACTCAGTCGCCTCTCCCCAAGCCTAACCTGTCAGTGTCCTTGGACCACCACACAGCTAACCCCCACAGCTGCTGCTGCGGGTACTACTGCGCCCACCACCTCCAGCTCCTGCCAGGCTTCCCCAGGGGCTCAGGATCCCGATGCTCTCTGTGTGTGGACTTACAAGCCAGCGAGCCCTCGAGCTGCATCACCAAGTGATTCGTGCTCAGAACCCAGAGGCTCTTGCTAATGTCTAGTGAGTTGGATGAAAAAGAAAAAAGAATGAAAGACACAACTACGCCTCCACTTAACCTTGGGACCACGTGCCTCATGGGCCAGAGCTCCAGGGTGCAGACCACACCACTGTGCTCCAAAAGTAATCTGCATTTTGGTTTTTAAGGGACACTAAATTTACCTGTATGTTTATATGTACCCAAGAAAGTAACCACGTGAACACATGGACTGTTGTAACAAAGACAACACTAGAAACGTGATTGCTTCACTATTGACTGGAAAATGTTTTAAGTAATTGTATTAAAAGGCATGAATGGGGGCTGGGGAGATGGCTCAGGAGAATAAGTGCTTGTCTGGCAAGTGCAAGGGCCTGAGTTCAATCCCCAGTTCTGCCAAAATAAAAATAAAAAATAAATAAATAAATAAATAAATAAATAAAAGGCATGAATGTATTGCACAATGGTTTATGTGGGGGGAGGGTGTTTGTGAATTTGCTTTTTGGGTTCTGGGAATTGAACTCAGGGTCTTGTGCTTGCCAGGTAGGCGTTGAGCCACTGAGCTACATTCTCCTCCCTAAAGGTGGTTTTAAACAAATAATAAGAAGTGTTTGGTTTTCTTTTTGCTTTTCATTTGGGCAGCACTAGGAGGCGAGCCCAGGGCCCTCACACGGAGCTGTCCCCAGTCCTTTTGATTGATTTTTGATCTTGAGACAGGGTCTGCTTGAGTCACTGACTTCTCCAGGCTCAACTCAGGCATCCGATTCTCCGGCTCAGGCTCAGCCTCCCACAAGACAACTTAAGCACTGGCGAGACCTCCACACGGATCCCAGCCCTTCCCCCTGAGGGCGAGGACCCCAGCCCAGGCCAAGGCTGGACCGCGCCTCACAGCCTGATATCTTCAACAGCCTGCAGCCCGCATGCCTGGTCCAGTCAGGCCTTCTCCCTGACCAGAACATTCACGGGCCGTGCACTTCCTCTAAGCCATGTTCCGAGTGTGGGATGAGGTAGGAGCGTGGAAGCCCAGCCGCCTGGCTTACTTCCTCTGCCTATCTTTAAGACAGGAGCACGGGAAGAAGGCGTTAGAATACCATCTGCCACCACCCACTCAGGCCTCTCAACCAACAGCAAGGCCGATGGGGGAGGTGATGTCATCACCAGGGCAGCTGTCAACACCAAGGGCAAGATCAGGCCTGCTCCCAGGAAGGCTGCAGCGCTGCAGAGCACGCCCCCGGGGCCAACCCAGGCTAAGTACTGACATCAAGGCCGGGCGGCCCTCGGGCAGTGGGTAGGATCTCGGATGGGGCCCCTACCCGGCCCTCAGACTCCCCCCATACCACCTCCTGCTGTCACAGCCTGTGGAAGAGGAAGCCGTGTCTTCCTCACTTTTCTTCTCCTGGATGCAGCCTCTCTGATTTTGTTTCACTTTGCCATTTTTGTTTTTATTTGTACATATCTGCATAAAGACCTACCACCCTCCTCGCGAGGAGCTGGTGCCTGCACAGAGCACATCTTGGTTTCTTTCGGCACCCCCTCCCCAGCTCCCCCACCTATGGCTCCCCTTCCCACTTGCAGAGGAGCCCACTCCCCATTTCCTATTCTTCTTATTTTGTGCTTATTTATATGTTGAGTTTCCTCATAGAAGAGAAGCCATCTAAGCTTGTGCGTCTGATTTATTTAGCATTACGGCCTCAAGGTGCAGGCATTTGCCCACAGAGAGCTCCAGTTTCTCCTCGTGGCGGTGTGGTGCTCTGTCGTGCATAAATACCACATCTGACCTATCCATTCAGCCATAGGTGGACCTATGGGTGGCTTCCAAGATTGTGGCAGCAGTCATCCTGGCTAAGTGTCTGTGCCCAGAAGCCTCAGGGACGCGGTCAGCCCTGAGCTGGAGATGAGCATGGAGGCCACAACCCCTTGGGAGGGAGGATGGCAGAAATGGGGCGGTGGAGTTGAAACACAACGGGTCCCCTAAACCCAACGCGGATCCTGCTTCAGCCTCTAAAACTCAAGCTAACCCCACCCAGCCCTACAACGCCAGGAAAGACCATTCAGATCACCCAATGACAGTGACATGAGGGTGAAAGCTCAGCCTCCATGCCTCAGTTTCCCACGTGGGTCTGACCATGGGGCTGTCTCTGACAGGTGCTTGCTATGGGGATGAAATTTGTGTAAAGCACTTAGAACCTGCAGCGTCTGGCCCAGGCTCAGCATGAGGGTCACCAGTGAGGACGTCCCCTGAGGGTGGCTGGAGAGGCCCATGTACAGGGCTGGGAGAGGGTCTGGGCAGCCATCTGTGGGCAGCTACACATCAGGGATGGGCTGTGGCCACTCAGCCACTCTTGTAGACACAGTGGCCCCTGTATGGAGCCTGAACTGGGGACAAGAACAGATAGGGGAGCAGGGCTGGCCAAGAGAGGCAAGGCCAGTTAGAAGACCTGGGTCAGGGACCCCACAGGCCACCAGGAGAAGGCCCAAGGAGGTCTCTGCAGCACCACCAGACCAGGTCTCTGGGAAGACCAACAGAAATTGAGCATGTGACCATGGGTGGAGAAGCAGTGGACCGGGACAGCACAGGCAGAATGTGCAGGGGCCAGGGCGTGGGCTGGCCCGCGCTGGGGACCCTGTTTCACACGCCACACCAGCATTGACCCAGGACTGAGGCCCACAGGCTCCTTGTTCAGTCTGATCGATCCTCCCTCCACCCGCCCCCTCCTTCCTAGTCTGGGGACCATCACTAGTCCCTCTTCTCTGGCATCAACTCCTTCAAATCTCCGGGTACTACCTCCCCGTGTCGGGTTCTTACACTTAGCAACCTGTGCTCCGGGTCTATCCACGCTGCCCTAAAGGGCAGGATCCCACAAACAGGCACAGAGGCCAGGGGTCAGTTTAAAAATAAGAATAAATCCAATAAAAACTCAGAGCTGCCCCCAAAGAATAATATGCCCCCAAATACCAAATACTTTGTCCTACAGTGGTAGGCGTCTCATCTGGAGTTGAGGACCGGGGCGCCTGCTGTTGATGGGAGTGGGGTTGGGGACCCAGACCCGTGTCCTGTGCCAGGGTCCTGCTTCTCAGAAGGGCATCAACATCTTTAGGGGCCACGTCCACCTGGAAAGGAAGAGCACAGGCTGAGGCTGCATGGTCAGGCTGCATGTCCCCAATACCTGCTGTGCATCCCACCAAGAAGGGGCGGGCAGGGGGGTTGGTCACGTTCGCCGACCTCAGTCTGAAGTATCAAAGCCCACACCCCTTGGCCCTTTAGGATAGAACGCTTCAGGGCAGTCGAGTCACCAGCATGGGGAATGAGCTTGAGAGCCATGAGCTAAATTGGCTTCTACACACGCCCCAGCACTTGGTGAGCGAGATTCAAGCTCCAAAGGCCCCCAACTCATTCTGTAGCTGTAACCGCTCAGCACACACAGAACGCAGCACATGGGCTTTTCCAGAAAGCAGAACAAAACATCAGGACCTTTCACCTTGGGAGTCCTAGTTCTCCCTCTTGCCGCGGGCAGTGACACCCGGCGCCCGTGTGAGGTGATTCAGGAGGACCCACAGCAGCCGCCGCCCTGGCGCATGCCCACCTCGACCTTTTCAAGGGTTTGCAGCTTCCTTCCAGCGTTTGGAGTGAGCATTTCTCATGCCTGAGTCATTTCCTTGGGCCAATTAACATGCTTGCAAGGCGGCTGCGGGGGACCTGGCACTGCCCCTCAGAGGGCTGACTCAGGACAGAGCTTGGCTTGGCTTCAACACCTAGACCCAGCCTTCACTCAGAGCCAGAAGGAGGCAGGCAGGGAGGCAGGCAGGTTCCACCGCAGCACAGCAGGAATCTCCAGCCCAGAGGAGGCTCTGGAATGACTGCAGGGAGGTGATTCCACGGAAGAGAAGGGGTGAGAACAGAAGGGGAGTGTGAGGATGGGGAGGGAATGCAGTCTCTGTCTCTCTCTGTCTCTCTGTCTCTCTGTCTCTGTCTCTGTCTCTCTCTCTCTCTCTCTCTCTCTCTCTCTCTCTCTCTCTCTCTCGATGGCAACCTGGGCAATTTACAACTCAGTGAGACCTGTCTCAAAGTAAAAAAAATAGAAAGAGCCAGAGCTGGAGCTCCTTGTAAAGGCCCTGGGTTCAGTCTCCAGTGCACACAAAGCAGTTTAAATATTTATAAGCACCATCCGCACCCCTCTGTGAGGCACACTGCTGTCGCCTGCAGCACCCACTGCTCCCCTGACATACACTGTCCTCCACCTCCCAGCCCGGCTGCCTCCACTGAACTCCCTGAACTCAACCCTCCCCGCCTTTCTCCAGCAGCGCCTGGCACTCTCACCTGCTCTGAGCTGAGCCTGCGCAGAAGCTGCTCCCAGAGCCCCTGCAGACACTCCTGGTCTGCACCCAGAGCAGACAAGCATGCAGGGTCTCCAGGTGCAGTGCACAGGGCTTACCTTCCAACTTTGTGAGCCCAGGCTGCGGCTGGTGGCACTGTGGGCTCCTGTGGTGCCACAGAAGGCCACGGGCAGGCAGACCCTCCCCTCCCCCATGCCCTGCCAGGGGCTCAGCCCACACATCTTGGAGTGACAGAGCACAGTACACTCTGTGGGAGACAGAAGGAAAGGAGGAAGGGGAGGAGGGAAAGAAGGAGGGAGGGAATCCAACACCCACCCAGGGGGTGGCACTGACTGAAAGGACAGGAGAAGGTGGGGGTCCTGCCCAGAAAGGGTCTAGAGAGGAGGCTCCAGCTGGAGGCTGAGGCAGTCAGCGGCAGCAAGGGCCGTAAGACAAAGGAAAGCGCTTCATTCATCAGCTACTGATCTGGTGGGTTCTTGAAAAATGGTGTCGAGTAAAATTCAAATTGCACCTTTAGCAAATACCAGCAACAATGAAAAGTCCTGGATTCAGCCCCCTGTGCCAATGTTGAGGCTTAAGCTTTCATGTAAAAGAGATGACAAAGGGAAGAAAAAGGATAAGTGCCAGTCCGCCGGCCACCGCATCCTCCTCCCTTTTGCCTCATCAGGCCCGTGAAGCCCGCACAGCATGGGAACAAGCAGGGTGCCTGCCCCCCAGAGGCTGCGCCCACCTCTGTCACCCCCAGCCCCAGCAGCGCTGCCTCCCACTGCAGCATACTCTGACTTTATGTGGCAACACATGACAAAGCCAGCAGCATGAAGCGGCCCCAGGCAGGGATCCCCATGTGCGACGGTGCTCAGGACCTACCCGGGGACGTGCACGTGCCACACTGTGACACCGGTGTCACATGGAAACATGCAGAGCGGCCACTTGGTAACGTGATGTCGTGTGCTTGAGGGATCGGGCATTGTCCTTCTTGCTATGGCTTACATATGGTGGCTCCCCATCAAGACTCACGGTGACATCTGATTGCCACCGTGGCGGCGTCAGGGGACAGTGGTTTTCGGGGTGTTCAGGATGAATGCTACTCTCACAAGACTGGGTCAGCTCCCACTGGAAGGTAGTGCTCACTCTTGTGGAACTGGATTGGCAACCACATCAGTGGGCCTGCCTGCTCCATGCGCCCCACCTGCCCTGCCACGGATCTGCCGTGCCCGGGTATCGCAGCCCTCACGAATGCGCACAGCTGGTCCTGGGCTCCCTGCCTCCAGAGCCAGGAGCCCGATACACCACCGCCGTGTATAAGTTACCCATTCTGGGACTGTCAGTTACAGCCACAAAATCAGACTAAGACACGAGAGCATCAGAAAGAGAAACTAAAAGGAACTAAATTACACAACCGGAAATTAGGCAGAAGGACTAACAGTGAACATATGGAGCCCCAGAAATCCCCTTTCCCAAGGGCTGACTTCATCCCAAGTGCCTCTGCGTCCAGGACAGGCCCCAGCACCTGGGACGAGGCCTCCGACGCATGGAATCATAAAAGTAAATAAATAAAATAGGAAAATAACAATAAATTTTTATACTGTCAAAAAGAAAGAAAAAAGATTCACGGAGCTATTAACCAGCCTCAACAGGAAGGCCAAATATGTCAGCCTGAAAAATGAGGCTGAAAGAAACTCGCAAAGCCACAAAGCCACATGCTTGTAAAACATGAGAATGGTACAGTTCCGTGAGTCCTTGTTTTTTCAACCAGAAGAACCTGGAGAACCTGTGACCACCAGGGAACCCAGACTCCATCATCCGGGGACACTGATTTTACCCAAAGAATTCTGAAAGGGGAGTTATTTTCTGTTAAAACAAACATGGCTAGATTACGAAGTGGGAAGAAAAATCAACATCTGCCTGAAATAAAGCAGGAGACCCCAAAAAGTCCCCCACTAGGGGAGCTTCTGGGGTGCCAGGCCAGCTCTCTCTCCACTTCTCGAGAGTCATCAGGTGAAGAAGACCAAGAAGATCCCCTGAAGCCAACACTGGGGTCATCACTGTGCAATCCTAGTCTGAAGAACAGGACACATCAACAGGGCTCCACGAACTCACACCACTGGGCAAGAGACACAGGGAAACCCAGCCCTGCCTGCCACGGTGTCCACCCAGCGCGTCCATCAGGGCTGCCCAGACTCAAGGTGGAGAGGCAGGCGTTCTAGTAACCCAGCTACATGTTCAATATGGTGGCCCTGAGAAAAAGCTTCACAAAGCCATGTGCACGCAAAACCACCTCCCCAAAGAGAATGAAAGAAATCACTGCTTATCTCAGAAATCCCAAGAAACACCAGGGCGGGCCACCCTCCTATCAGTAGATGCCTGCACTTTATATCAGATTGATTGGGTTTACTTGCCCACAGAGATGCGACACGGAGATTGTTTTCATGATCAGTGATGCACACAGATAGGGAGGATGATAAGCACTGCCAGAGATTTCAGGGGTCCCACGAGGCGTAAATGCACAGCAATCGCAAGCCTCAAAGCCGCAAGACCAGCGCTATCAACCAGCACACGCGAGCTTTGAGGGCAAAGCAGGAAATGAGCGGCGACACGCGGTGAGATGCCACAGCCAGGAAAGGGCCAAAGCCGTCAGTCAGCTGACAGAACCCTCAGGCTGGGCTCTGAGGAGAGACCAGGAGGCCCGAGCGAGCGCTCTTCACAGCGACATTCGTATTTGCCTCCTTTCTATGTTTTGTTAAGGTAAGATATGAAACACAGAAACCTGGAGGGAGTAATACTACACGAGCTGTGGTTGAAATCTACAATGAATGTTTACCAATGTTTAGTAAACGCAAAAGTATTACAGTGAGAAAGCCACATTACCATGAATGTCCCTCTCTTCAAAAATGGTCTCTAGTTTGGCTGCCATGATGTCCTGAATGGATTCAAAACACGTTCAGGGCCACTCTGCCACTAGGGAAGAGCCAGAAACTATCCAGTGCTAGTTTGGTGAATAAAGTAGATGAGGACCTTTCATAATTTTATGTAACAGAAATTACCACAAACATTTTGGATAGAGTCAGGCCATTGAGGCAGCCATGAAAAACCCCTCAAAAAAGACAACTTCCAAGAGTACTTCAGAAAGTGGCAAGAAGGATGGGATATGTGAACTTGCAGTGAGGATTTTTATGGGATTCATGGCAATGTGTCTTTTGCTGTAATAATTTTTCTTTTTTTTTCTTTTTTTCTGGTACCAGGAATTGAACTCACAACCTAACACTTTCTAGGCAGGCACTTATGCTACTGAGCTATCTCCCTGGCCCTGTAATAATTTTTTTAGTTTAAATATTAAGCACATTCTGGTCACATCCCATAAGCTGAGACAACTTCATACTCCAGGAATACTCCATCAGAACACAGACCATTTCTGTCACCACTGAAGTTCCCTCGTGCCCCGTGTAGCCACCCATGTTGGCAGGATCCACTGATCTGATTTCTGTTGCCACCTCTGCTGTGGCTCTTTAACCACGACCCTCAGAGCAGCAGGGGGCTGGATTCTACCCTACCTGCCAGGGCCCTGCTGTGTCCACACCTCTTCTGCAGGAGCCCAGGCCTTCAGCTGCCCTTGCTGGGTCATGCTGGGAAGGAAGCTGTCTTAACAGGTGGGCGTGGTTCCCCAAGGATCATTTCAGAAACTGAGGGGAAACAGAGCCTTGGCTCATGAGCCTCAGGTGAGGGGCAGAGGCCACAGGTGTGAGACATCTCAAATGCCACCAGACAGTTCCACTCACACAGGCCCTGCTGCGGCCCCACAACCCCTGCTTCTTTGACTGACACCCATGCCAATAGGAAATCATATTTACAGTGTTTGAAGCCCAGCCACTAACTCCAATCCATATTTATATAGATGGGTGTGACTACCACAATTTCCACATTCTGAATGTTTTAGGAGTACAGCCACTGTGATGACCAAGAGAGGGCTGCCCTGCGACCACCTGTGGTCAGTCCGGGTAAAGTGCCAGGCAGCCCTGCAAGGTCCTAGCCACGCCCTGTCCCATCCTGTCCACCTCAGATACGCCACCTTAACACAGAGCACTCCTATCTCTTCTTTCCATCCAGATATGACACTGAGCTTTAAAAGTTGTGTTGTAAATTCTGTCATGTCTTCACAGTTACAAACATGGTGTTTTAAAATACTTTCATGAGGAGGAAGGAGCCAGGTTTGCACGGGGGTGGAAAGTAGGTCTAACCTCTTGGTCAGGAGTCCCTGCCACACTCCCCTTAGTCCTCGAGGCTGGGAAGCCAAACCTGCAGAGAGCAGGCTGCGGACCCCTCCTGTCCACAGCCACTACACTGCGCTTGTGGCCCCCCTAGCTTGGTGCTGGCTCCTCCCAGAGACCGCCGAAATCCTGTTCTTCCACCTCGGTAATGAAGACCTTTGGAGAAAGTGGCCTCGACTGGGTACCAAGGCAGGCTTTATATCACAGGAGCATTTCACTTTCGTCCTGAAGACAGTGACAGCGAGGGCCTCCCAGGACCTGTCTCCTACTGCCTACAAGAAAGCCACTTGTGGTGCCCACCTCATCCGTAAGCAGAACCAACTGGGGTCTTTAAAACCATGTGTGCCCAGCCACCACAGAGCACTCACTCACTGGTCTCTCAGCGTGCACTGGCAGGCCACGGTGGCGGGCAGGGGTGGGGCGGCGACTGCCCTCAGCTCTTGCCGCCCACCGGGGTACTCTACAGGAGCCCAAGTCACACAGCCTTAGCTGCATGCCTTTCCCGCCTTGTTTCCACTCCCCTTCGTCGCTCATTGTTTTTCTTTCCTTCTTTTCATCTACGGCATCTTGTAAATCCTGTCTAAAGCAGCAGGACTGCCCAGGTGTGCTGCCTCTCTGCATGTGCACGGCAGTGATGTGCATCCCCAGGTGAGAGCACAGAGTCCCAGGTGCGCAGGGGACCAGGGACCCTGAGGAAGCCCATGTCCTCCATCCCCACTGAGCTCCCTGGGCTCCAGGTCCCTCGGCACTCAAGTGTTAGGTGTGGCAGGAGACGGCATCTCCTGGGGCCATGGCAGGCGATCAGAGGACAAAGCTGCTGGCGCTGCAGATCCTCGGCCTGCACCACCAGCCTGCTAACTACCCGGAGGACAGGACGGCTCAACGCAGCAGCTGGCGAGGAGGTAGCCCCACGGGCGCCTGACAGCTTCTCTCCTCTGAAGAGGTCATGGCCAGCTTGACTCTCTGACTGAGGAGACGCTGCCTTCGCAGACCTCCACCTGCAAGCGGACAGACGCCCCTCCCGCAGATGCATCATACAGCAGGCTCTCTTCCTGCCTGCGCAGCCAGGTGCATGTCCACAGCTGCACAGGGACTGCCACTGGTTCTGGTCCTTCTCCATCCCCGCACCTGCTACAGAGCCTAACCTGCAGTGAACGCTCAGTGCATGTCTGCTTGGTGAAGAAGTGAATCTGATATCCCGTAGGGTCTCACCAATAGCCAAAGACTCACCCAAAAGATGTCACTCATCTCTGAAGAGTAAAGAACAACTAAGCGACACATCATACCACACAGGACACAGAAGGGTATTAGAAATAGGAAGTGTGGACCTGCTCTGTCAAGGTCACATAAGAGTGAAGTTGAAAGTCTCTCTCTCTCTCTTTTTTCTTTTTTCTTTTTTTTTTTTGACACAGGGTCTCACTATGCAGTTCAGGCTGGCCTTGAACTTGCTTCTATAGCCCAGGCTGGCCTTGAACTCACAGTGATCCTCCTGTCTCAGCCTCAGAGTGCACCACCCAGCATGGTGAAAGTTCCCTCTTGAACTGCTTGGGCAGCCAACAGTGGGCGAGCCCCTGGCATTTCTCCTGTGCCTGCCCAAGAGGGTGGAAGCCCAGCAGGGCCACATGGCCCTGCCCCAAGGAATCCCCAGCCCAAAGGTGCACAGCAGTCAGTGTAAGACAGGACATGGCAGGCTCAGTAAAACACTACCCAGCGTGCTAACAAACTAAAATTCTTAGAGAAATAAGACCCCGCCAGCCACTCAGGGAGCTGGGGGAACAGACAGCAAACACCCCCAGTACCACCCGGACTTTCCTTGGCGTTCCCCATTGCAGTCACTGTGCTGAAGTTGAGCACCAACGCAGGGAGACCCAGGCCTCACCGTGAGCCTGACTGGACCTCACTCCCCTTTCTCTACCAGCAGCGGTCGCTCACACAGCACCCAACCTCTCAGCTGCTTCAAGGATGTGCAGTGATGTTCCAGTCCCCTGAGCACTCACTGTCCCCACCCCAGGGACCCTCAGAGCTCGCAGGGTGGACCCGCAGGGCACACCCCCTGCCCAGGTGCAGGGCTCACAATCCCTGGGGCTTGGACATGTCTCTCCCTCCTTCTGGGTGCCGGCCTCCGGCCAGTCAGTCGCCTGTTGAGGTTTCTGTTCCTGGCTGTAAAACCAGCCGATTGCTCCTCTCACCAGACTGCAGGACAATGAGGGCCAGGGTGCACAGAAGGTGGCTCCTACATGCGTGACCACAGTGCACCGCGGGTCTGCCTACCTGCCACCTCCTCTGCCATCTGCAGGGACTGCATGGGCCCTCCCCTGCCTTGGGCAGGAGACCTGCTCCTCTTTTGCTTTTCATTTTGATTTTTATGAGGACATGCCACAGTAAGTAGTGACCATGCTCCTGGGGCGGGGAGTTGGTGCGAGGACACAGCACAGTCCACTCTTCTAAGGCCCCACGCTCCTCTCACTCTGCCTCCTGGTCCCTTTCTCTCTGCAAAGACCAGTTCTCTCTCCCCAGCTTTGCTTATCTGTCTTCTAGCCTAAGGCTAAGACGGACAGTGTGGACCCAGCTGAACCTGCACACGCCTGTCCTAAACAAACCTCCAGAACCCAGAATCCAGGAAAGGTCTCTGCTACATAGGACAGGGCCAGAAACAGGGGCAGGGCTAGGGACAGAGACAGGGTCTGAGACAGACTGATAGGGACAGGCAGGGTCAGTGTCAGGGTCAGGGACAGATACAGAGACCGCACCATCGTCCCTCACACGATAAACACTGTCAGTTGCAGTCACTGGGGAAGGACCCTCCCCGGTATCCAGTCCAGGCCGCCACCCTAGTCTGACCCATCCGGGCCCCTCCAGCCTTCTCCTACCTGGGCCGCCCCATGGGAGGCGCGATCGCTGCCCCGGTGGCACTGGCCCTGTGGGTCACATCCTCCTGGGGTGTGGGCCACGGCACCCCTCTGCAGCCGCGCTGCCTTCTGCGCCCTGCGCCGCACACGCACACGAATCCAGCTCTGCTAGGACGGTGGGGCCTGGCTGGGGCGGGGGAATAGGCGGGGGAATAGGCGTGGCCCAGCGGTGAGGCGGGCGGGGAAGAGCGGAGAAGGGGCAGGGACCGGGCCGGAAAGGGGGCGTGTCCCGGTGGGGCGGCCGAAGGGCGGAGTCCCCAGGGAGCCCGGAGTTGGGGCTCGGCGACGCCTGCGGCCCGCGGCTTCCAGAACTGAAGACCTGGGGTTCTGCACCTCGTTCCTCTTCTGGGAAAGACTCCTGACAGCCCGCGTTGCGAGGGGCTGGGAGGTGACAGGCCCGCAGACGAGCGCAGCGCGGCCAGCAGGCGGGTCTGTAGCCCTGGGCTTCGTGGTCAGTGTTCTGTGCGCAGGGTTGAAAAAGCAGTTTACAAGCCCTGCCATCCTGATACCAGGCTGACTACGCTTTCAAATTTAAGACTGAGCTACCCTGCAATTCCAGCTACTCCTGAGGTGGAGCAGGAGAAATGCAGGTTCGAGCCCCACCTAGGCAGATTAGGAGACACTGTCTCCAAGTGGAAAACGGCGAAGGCTGGGTGCTTTTCATTTTCAGGGTAGGAGTGCCCCTGGGGTCTATCTCCAGGACCAAAGGAAGCAAAACCCAAACGGGGCAAACCAAACTCCCGCTTCTCCAAGGGCTCCCTGTGCACCTAAGAAATCACACCCAGAAAACTGGGCAATGCCCGAGGTCCAGGTGGAAAAGGGACTGGCGGAGGGCCGGCAGGGAGGTTCTGAGTCCAGCAGCCGCCCAGGATCTGCAGCTGGAGACAGCTCTGCCCCACCCCTCCCCTCCCACCCGTGCCCCATGGTGCGGGCCTGATTCGCCTCCTCCTCCTGGACGTCCTCCCAGCATGCACCTCCCTCCCACTGCCTCAGGCTGCTCCTGCAGGCCCTGGCCACCCCAGCTGCCCCCTCCTGTGCCCCTCAGGAACTGTGCCCTGGCTGACCTTGGCAATGCCAGGATGAAGGAAAGTGGAAGGGACCAGGCTGCTGTAAGGGAGCACAGAAGCCCTCATGTGGCCTGGCACGGTGACAGTCTATGTTCTGCCTGTGTCCAGAGGTGTGGCAGGTTCCTCTGTCTCAGGGCAGCAGGCTTGCGCCAGGCAGCCAGCTGTGTGTGAATTCCTTAGCTGTCCCAGCTCAGCCACAGCCCAGAGCTGCCCAGCTCAGTCAGGACTGGAGCCCTGGGGCAGATTTTCAGGTTTCCAGCGAGTCCCTTGTGTGGTCAGGGCTGCGGACAGCTGGCCCTTTCAGCATCTGCACTGGTGCTAGGGCTCTGTGTGCAGCTGACAGCCACTTCCTTCAGCCCCCGAATGGCGGGCCCAGCTTCATGCCACAGGACACGGCTGAAGCCTTGTGCTGGCCAGTGCACACGCCTCTGGCCGTTTATGTACTGGGGCTTGTGGAGCAGTTGACAAGCAAAAAGTGGGATTCATGTGCATTGTTAAGCAGAAATAAAAACAAAGTTTCTTTTTTCTTTTTTCTTTCTTTCTTTCTTTTTTTTTTTTTTTTTTTTT